AAATTTCCCTCTTAGAACTGCCTTTGCAGTATCCCAGAGGTTCTGATAACTCGTATCTTCATTATCGTTTTGTTCCAAAAATTTGGTAATTTCCTTCTTGATCTCATCTCTGACCCACCTATCATTCAGCATAAGGTTATTTAGCTTCCATGTTTTTGTACAAATCTGCAGATTCCTGTTCTTAATGAGTTCAACTTCATTCCATGATGGTCTGAGAAGATGCAAGGAATAATTTCTATTCTTTTAAATTTGGTAAGGTTAGATTTGTGACCTAAGATGTGGTCAATTTTGGAGTATGTTCCATAGGCTGATGAGAAAAATGTATATTCAGATTTGTTAGGATGAAATGTTCTGTAGATGTCTGTGAAATCCAAATGCTGAATGGTTAAGTTTAAATCTAAAATTTCTTTGCTAAGCTTCTTGTTGGAGGATCTATCCAATACTGCCAAAGGAATATTAAAATCTCCAACTATGGTGGAGCTGGGAGAAATCAAGTTGCTCATGCTTATCAGAGTATCTCTTATAAATTGAGGTGCATTGTGGTTGGGTGCATAAATATTAATAATTGAGATCTCATCATATTGAGTAGTACCCTTAACAAATATAAAGTGACCATCTTTATCCTTGCTTCCTTTTGTTGGTTTAAAGCCTGTTGTATCTGCGAATAAAATTGCAACCTGCTTTTTTCTGCTTTCCATTTGCCTGGAATATATATGACCATCCTTTCACCATGAGTCTATATTTGTTTTTTAAGGTGAGATGAGATTCTTGTATGCAGCTGATATCTGGCCTGAGTTTTTGTATCCAGTCAGCCAGCCTATGCCTCTTTAGAGGGCAATTTAAGCCACTCAGATTGATTGAAAGTATTGATAAGCCTGGTATAATTTGGGGTATGGAAATTTTCAAAAGTCCAGTGGACATCTTTAATCCTTTTGCCACTGTGGAAGTTGGAGTTTGATCAAAATCTTCTGTGTGAGTTCACTTATGTGGTAGAGGAATGCACTGCTCATTATGGAGGATAGGTCTGAGAATATCCTGGAGAGCTAGTTTAGTTATGACAAATTTCTTCAACATGTAAATGTCATTAAAAGTATTTATTTTCTCCATCATAGATGAAACTCAGTTTAGCTGGATACAGGATCCTGGGTTGAAAGTTATTTTGTTTTAGGAGATTAAAAGTCCATGACCATCCTCTTCTAGCCTGAAAGGTTTCAGCAGAGAGATCTGCAGTCATTCTAATACTCTTCCCCTTGTAGGTTATGGTTTTTCTTACTTCTCACTGCTTTCAGAATTTTCTCTTTCATCTTAACTTTAGTGAAGTTAATTATGATGTGCCTGGGGGATGTCTTGTTTGGGTTGAGTCGTGCTGGGTTTCTGAAACTGTCTGCTATCTGATTTTCAGAATCTCTTGGCATATCTGGAAAGTTCTCTTTCATAATTTCATGAAGAAGAGCCTCTGTGTTTTGTGAAGCATCATCATTGACTTCAGAGATTCCTATAAAGGCGAATATTTGTTTTCTTCGAATTATCCCAGAGTTCTCTGAGAGAAAGATCCATTTTTGCTCTCCATTTCTCTTCATCTTTGAGCACTTGGGTAGGTTCAAAAGCTTTGTCTTCAATGTCAGAGATCCTTTCTTCTGCCTGCTCCATTCTGTTACCAAGGGATTCTACCTTATTTTTCAAACCTTTGAGGTCTGCAAACTCTTGCCTCAATGTTTCAAAATCTTTGATCATTTTATCTTTGAAATTGTTGAATTCTTGAGATATCTTTTGAATAATTTCTTGAAATTCTAATTCCCTCCTTTCTTCCATTCTGTTAATCTTATTTGCTATCCAAATTTTGAACTCTATTCCTGATATCTCAGCCATCTGTTTATGGATGGGATCTTCAGTTGCATCTGCCTCATCCTTCCTTGGGGGGAGTTGATCTACTCTGGTTACCAGAGTTTTTCCACTGATTCTGCCCCATGCTGAATTTGCACGTTTGAAGACTGTCCCAAAACCTTTCTGCCAGTGGCTTTCACCAGAGAAGAGGGTGGCTTCCTCTGGTTGCTCAGAGAGATAGGGCGTGTCTGTGCAGAAAAGCCTCAGGGGTGTGAGCCTTCTTATTCTAGCTGCTGCAGCTGCTGTTCTTTGCCTGGGGGTACCACTGCTCCAGTGTGGTTCCCTCTCAACTGACCGTCCTCTCCCAGTTCTCAGCCACCGGGCCTGGGGTGCCAGGCTCAGCTAGATTAGTACTCGTGGTAGCCTGCGAGGGAGCCTGCAACAGTACAGAGTGCCGGCAGCCTCGGTGCCCCAAATGCGGGGCTCAAGCCATTCTCTGGCTGCAGGGCCAGAACAGGGCGCTTGGTCCTGCAGGGTTCGGGGTCGCTGCTCTTGGGCCTCCTATCACTGTCTCTGCAGGCAAGGGGGGTAGGGTGGACTGGAAATTCAAAATGGCAGTGAAAAGTTAGTTCGATTTTTCTGCCTGGCAAGAGGGTGTTCAAGGTCTCGGCAGGGTCCCTCTAGGGGAGTAGACCCCACTTCCTGTATCTCTCACATGTGGGTTGAGATAATAGGTCCTCAGTTCACCTCTGGCTTGTAGGAAACTTACAGGAGCAGACAAAGAGAAAGCAAAGAGAAAAACACAAGTTTCTTGGGGGAAGGGACAGACACTTTTCCTTTGAGATATATTATGTACCTGTAGATTGCTTTCTAGGAGTCACAACTTCTCTCAGCAGAGGTGTCCTGCAGATATCACTTTTCTCTGTTGTTCTCCTTCTCTTCAACTTTGTTGGGTATTTTCTAGACTTTATCCTTCCCTCTGGATGGGAGCTTCTGTCGGAAGCTGGTACCTGTCGGCTATCTTGCCCCTTCCCTGAAACTTCTTAATAGTTTATAAAGTTTCATGAAGGCTTTTTGTACCAAAAATTATTGTTCAATTGGTGTCTTTGTGGGAAATCAGGTTTGGAGCTTCCCATTCTGCCATCTTGCTTATGACACTCTATTTCTATTATACTTATTGGAAAAACATGTAAAATTTGCTTGTTTTAGTGAGTCCAATACCCATGGCATAACTGAATTTTTTGTGTGACTCAGAATCAGTTTTTTTGTTTATTTTTTGTTTTTTCCTTATGATAGTGGACCATAAATTTGGAAATATTAATATTCTTAAATATAAAATATATTGGAGACTCAGTCAACCCTTGGATATTTCTAGGATTGTTGCTGGAATAAAAGGTGTTGTGTTGTTATTGTTAAATTCTATTTATGTTTAATTTATTTCTTTTTTATAATAGTGTATCAGAGGAGAATCATTAATATAGTCCTTACTAGGCATGTACTAATTACCACGGGTGATCCCTGGTCAGTCTTTCTCTGGTGTTTTAGGTTGGGTGCATAAGAAGAGCACATTGTAGCTTATTAATTCTTTGTTTTTTGGCTTATTTGTACAATGAATGCTTTTGAATTGTATCTATATTGAGTTATTTGACAGTATATACCTAATTTATTAACTAGCTCTACATATTTTCATATGTCACTATTAAAAGTCCATATAAAATATTATATACCATATAGTATAAAAAGTCCATATATAATACTAAAAAGAAAAAGTCCATATAAATTACTAAAGTTCTATAAAATACTTACCTTTCTTTATGAACCACCTAGATTTGATTTTCTGATGTGTAATGTATGTGAAAATATTTCTCTGTGTAATGTTTTCTTTATTGTGTGCCCTTACAGGTGGTGTAATTAATAATCTTTTATCCTCTTTACGGGATGTACTTATTGGTGTGCTGGCAGGAACTGTTTTGGGATTTTTTGTGCAATATTTTCCAAGTGGAGATCAGGTAGATAGAAAAATGAATCTTTTTTGTACATGTGTAATATTACACATTTCTTTCAAAAATTTGAGCTTTGAAAAGATCCATGAAGTATTAAGTTCAAAACTCTCTCTTCCCAAAAGTAGCCTCTGATGCCTACTCTGTGGTTAAAACTGAGCACGGTAGTGATTTATATAGGCTTTCTTGAAGTCTCTGCTTCCTAATTTGGCAAATAAGAAATAATCAGAAGGGCTCAGCACCTGTACCTCAGCGGCTAGGACACCAGCCGCTGGGGCTGGTGGGTTCAAACCCAGCCCGGGCCACCGAAACCACAATGACAACTACAACAAAAAATAGCCTGGCACTGTGGTGGGCATCTGTAGTTTCAGCTACTTGGGAGGCTGAGGCAAAAGAGTTGCTTGAGCTCAGGAATTTGACGTTGCTGTGAGCTGTGATGTCGCAGTACTCTACCAAGGGCAGATTGGTGAGACTCTGTCTCTAAAAAAAAAAAAGAAATATCAGAGGAATGTTCTTAATTCAGGGTATTCCCCTGCATTATACCATCCTTTCTTCACTAAATTGCCTATTGATGTTTTGACAATTTTTCCTAATCTTTTCTCCCAAATTTTCCCCTAACATTTTTGGGAAAATAGGTTTACATTTATCTCTGCATACTTTCTGACTTAATTTTTTCTCCCTCTCCTTTGACAAAAGCAATACTATTAAGTTGAACTCTTTCCTGCCTTAAAGAATTTACCATTACATTTGTATTTCTATAATTTCCATCCTAGTTTACCTGTAACGATTATTTTGACAAAGGACATATCCAAAAATTTATTTTTAAGAATTCATGGATATGTTATATGGAAGTGAAGATTATATGGGTCTGTATTTTCCATCCTCATTTACAGTTAAAGTGCTGTAATACTTTAACTATTATACTGATAAGAGTATCAGAAATGTGACAGAAGATGAAACTTTAAAAATTGGAACTTTTAATACTTTTAGCAAGTCTACGAACATATTTAGTGAGAAAGAAAATTAAAATTTTAGACATTAAATATAACATGTTATCAAAGGGTTAAAAATAAATGATGGTGTCAAATCTCGCATTATATATTTAATGTAAATTAATTTCTACCTATCTAATTCTAGGAAAAACTTTCAAAAAAGCGAGCATTCCTTGTTTTGAGTGTGTGTGTTTCTGCTGTTTTGGGCAGCCAACGTGTTGGCTTACATGCAGCTGGAGGATTATGCACACTAATGTTGACTCTCATTGCAGGGACAAAATGGTCCAAAGAAAAGGTGAATATTTTTAATACACTATTTTGTTAAAAGATAAAGTAACTGAATGTTTTGCATCTGGGATGGACATTTAGGAAATCCCCTTATTCTAGTAAGAAGGTGTTTCAAAGGTTTTTGTGTCCTCAAGGAAACATAGGAATCAAACAAGGAAATAAACTATTTAGGAAAAGCACCTGGAGATATGCTAAAATGCAATCAGAAGTTGAATTATCACATCAGGTTTCTCTTTTTCCCAAGTTTTATGTATTATGATTGTATACCTGTTATCAATTTAATTATTTTATTCATTAAAGTTTTAGTTATATAATTAATCCATGAAAACATGCTGATAAAAGATTAAAATGTAGAATAAAATGTAAAAGGTTCCTTTATCCCCCACTATTCCTAAATATTAAATCCACTTTCCAGAATTAATTATTTCTCCTAACCAGTCCTCTATCTATAAATATTTATATTTTCTTCCATTTTTTTGTTATTACAAGAGTGCTGCCATAAACAGTTCTATTTGTATGTCTTTTTGCATAAGTACTTGTGTACAATAGACTTCAGGAAATGGAATTGCTTGGTTAAGAAATGACCTGTTTTTTATGTTGATAGGTACTGCCAAATTATCCTTTCAAAAGATTTTAATTATTTACACTCCTGCCAACAGTGTAGGCAAGTGCTTAATACCTCAACCCATCAACCTCAATGGATATTATCAACATATGTGTTCTTTTTACTGTTGGATGGTCTCAGCCATGGTTACGTTTCTTTTAGTCATTTTGTTTATTTTGGTTTTGCATTTGATTCTTTGATCCATATGGAATTTATCTTTGTAAAAGCTGTAAAGATTTGTATATATACATGTGTGTATATATATACTCATAGGCACACTAACATATAAAAGATATGTACATACATTTATGTATATAAATTGGATAGTCAATTTTTGCCAAATTATTGACTAATCCATTGATTATTTTTTTATTAAATCATAGCTGTGTATATTAATGCAGTAATGGGGTACAGTGTGCTGGTTTTATATACAATTTGAAATATTTTCACCAAACTGGTTAACAAGGTCTTCATGGAAGGTGGGTCCATTGATTATTTTAAATGCTGCTTTTAACATGAACTTAATTCTCTCATATATAGGTAAGTTCTGAAATCTATGTAAATCTACTTGTCTATCGTATGCCAATGTTACTCTTTTAAATCACTGAAGTTTTGTTTCTCAAAATCTAACATAAAAGGTACCCCCTCATTGTACTTCTTTTAAAGTATTTCTTGACTTGTTCCTGCCTACATTCTTTCTTAGATAAATTTTAGAATCAGCTTGAGGAGTCCCCTGCCCAAAAATCATAGTGGCATTTCATTTAATATTCCTGTATAATTATAAAAGAAATTAAATGGTCAATAATGAATGAACTGTAATTGAACAAATAGGATGAAAACTACTAGAATTCTTTTTTAAATGAAAAGAAATAAATTAGAATAAATAGGTTTTAAAGATTAAAAGTAGCAAATAGGTGGGCGGCACCTGTGGCTCAAAGGAGTAGGGCACCAACCCCATATCCCAGAGGTGGTGGGTTCAAACCCGGCCCTGGCCAAGAACTGCAAAAAAAAAAAAAATAGCAAATAGAGAAATGTACATTCAGAGAATACATTAACACTGTTTTACTTTTTTCTTTTTTTAAGTTTTATAAATTACACTCAGGGGTGGTACCAGTGGCTCAAAAGGGTAGGGCACCACCTCCATATGCAAGAGGTGGCAGGTTCAAACCCAGCCACTGCCAAAAATAAATAAATAAATTACACTCAGAACACACAGTCATAAGGGAAGTAGTTATAAAGATAGTTTATGCCCTGAGCAAAAGTAATCAAGTTCTTGTGTAAGGTCTGTTAAAAAAAAATAAGCCCCAACTAACACTAAATTTTCTTGATTCAGATTCCTAGAGAACAGACTGTTCACGCCAACAGAACTCTTTCCTGTAACCTTTTAATAGGGCAGGTAGCCTTGGGAAGGATTCATTCCCAGAGAGGGAAGCTGAACAGGCAACAAAATAAGAATTGGATATGTTTTTTATTTGGTTGTGAGGAAAGGGTAACTTTGGGGTATTCAACATGGGTTCTTTGGAAGCAGACTTAACAAAATACAGTATTTTTTTTCCCAGTAGTTTATGACATAACAGGATTCACTTTCATAGGATTGGATTCCAGGGTAACATTGTTAGCTGAAGTCTTCCCAGCTCCCCCCTAAGAACCCAGATGTTTGTGTGAGTTGAGTATGTTCTCATCAGGCATGATGTAGTTCTGTCTCTGTTCAGTTACCTTACAAACAAGAGCTAAAACTCTTACTAAAACTGTCTGGAACTCCAAAGACCTCACTTATTCTGTGACAAATTGACCAAATAATATCGTTTATTTTATAGCTTTGTGGCTTTCTTTTAAACAAATTCTACCTGTTTGAGTAAAAGAGTTAACCTGTTCAATTTCCATTAATTAGTTTTTAACATTTCTCCTCTCTAAAACGAATTTTTTTTGAGACAGAGTCTCACTTCATTGCCCTCAGTAGAGTGCATGGCATCATCATAGCTTACAGCAACCTCAAACTCTTAGGCTCCAACTATTCTCCTGCCTCAGGCTCTACCACAATGCCCAGCTATTTTTAGAGACAAGGTCTCCCTTTTGCTCAGGCTGGTCTTGAACTTCTGAGCTCAGGCAGTTCACCTACCTGGGCCTCCCAAAGTGCTAGGATTATAGACATGAGCCACCGTGCCTGATCAGTCTGAAACTTCTGGCCTCAAGCAATCCACACACCTTGGCCTCTCAGAGAACTAGGACAACAGATGTGAGCCACCATGCCTTGTCTTACAAAAAATTAAATATCTTAAGTTTATTAAATGTTAATGGT